TTTATTTCATACATCGATGACGTTCTGATTCGTTTTTATACGAACCAATGCCTCGGAAAATCTGTTCTAGTTTCGATACAATCGAAATATTGATTTGATTATATACCCTATGTGGGAATAATTAGGTGTAACCATTGGCCACACCGACCTGACAGATGACAGATGACGGTAGGACCTCTTGTAAGTCTACGCGGGTAGGTACCACCGCCCTGCCTATTTCTGCCGTGAAGCAGTAATGCATTTCGGTTTGAAGGGTGGGGCAGCCGTTCTAACTATACTTGAGACCTTAGAACTTATATCTCAACAACAGATGGGCTGTGATCACGTCCACCCATCTAAGCAATAAAAAAATAAAATAAAATAAAAGATTGCGCATGAAGTATAAATCAGACTTAATAAGACGAAAGAAGAAAAAATTTAAATTTTTGGGTGATTAAATAAAATTTAACAAATTCACTAATTTCATTGTGCACCTCGATCCCACATATTATTATATGTAATTCGGAACAAGCTCACTGTATCTAATTACGTATTCGTTAAGTGTCTCCGCGAAACTTGCAGGATGCATTTAGAATGTGCGAATCGTACAACGTGTCTTTGCAAGTAGCGCCTGTTAACATTTGTTAAATTTAAAGGAGATTGAACTGTGAAACGCAGGCTGTGGGTCTTAATTCGAATGCAAATACCGATAAGGATGCGTCATTTGGTCTTGAAAACCGTGACTGATTCATTTCCGATGCATGGTTGAAGCTCTTTGTCGGGTTCGTCGGTGGCGAATTACCTACTCACGTTTTCAACATGCAATGCGGTGTCGATACCTGTGATACGTAGTTGGATGCACTAAAAGCAATACTGTTCCTATATTGCTTCGATTCTGTTACATACATACATACATAGGAGGTTTGAAATCTTTTGTATTGGTACCTTTTATTTAAAACTAAATATACATGTACGTACCATATAAGTAAGTACTTGTGAATTATACGAACTAAATGCAAAATGTTTAAATTTGCGTTATTGCCGAGGGCGGGGCGTATTGTGAGTCGTATGTTGGTGTGATCGTCTGGGTTTTTTATAATAAAGACGCAGATTTTCATGGATAGTTTTTATTCTATCGACGATACGCTTTTTTTTGTCCGTACTCATTGACGACGCAAGAAGAAAAAGGGACGAACACACGAACGACGTTGACACATATTACACGAGTGACAGCTGTCAGTTGGTATTAACATAAAGATGCGTTCAGGAATTATACAATTCTAACATCGTATAAGTCGCAACACCTTACTTACTATATCTGCCACGAAGCGGTCACATATTTGAGGGATTTCACAGCTACAATAAAAATTGGGAGTTCGAACCCGTGTCTTAAGGTGGCATTGAAACTGTCTGCGGACTGCGGTAACCATTTAAAACCATAAGGATAATGAGTTAAACAACCCAGGAATTAAATATAAAACTCTAAATCTATAAGTAAAATAAAAGTTTTATATCAGCCATTTCCGAATCCCTACTACGTAAATACGTACATTTTAAGTCGCATTTCATTAAATAAATAAATAATTATGTTATCAAATCAAAATTTGAATAATTGTAACTGAATTGTCATCAGCAAACAAAACAAAGTCAAACGTTTCGCGTTTTAATCAAAACAGAGCAGCATTTGTATTCAGAAAGACGTTATTGTGCCAAGTCGAGTCTAGCGAGAGTTAAAACTAAACAGATGCTGACTGGCATCTCCCGGGCGAGCACTTCCCCGCTCCACGTAGCAATCGCGTCTGCAAAATGCAGCAATGCATAAGAATTCAATCTTACATGTTTCGATATACAGCTACTATATTCCCTCTAAGGTATTCCCTGCACTCTTTTGTATTTCACGAGACAATATATTCTAATGTAGCTTTGTAATTTAATTACATATTATCGAAATTACAAATTGACTCATCGTACCGTTCTGATTTAGTTCACACAGTAACTTAGTAACGAAAATCCAACTGCAAAGAGCTATAAGACTGAAATTCTGAGAAATTGTGATATATATTTTTTTCTTCGAATTCATAATAGTTCCATATTATTTGAATAACAAATGTGTACAGTATACGAATACAGACCAAGATACTTTCTAAGTATCTATCAAAATTAACCAAGAAGTAGTTTATTAATAATGCGTTTCTCTTGAAAGTTAACTCATTCCCTTTTTATTTGGTCTCTCGGTGATGGTCACGGGGACCTGAGGGGGTTGAGGTTGTATCGTCCGCTACCGTCACTCTAGCGCGCTGGCACTAAGAAGATGGGACGACGTGTCGGCGGCTGCGGCTTGCGATGCGGTCCGCGTCATCGTCGTCGCTGTCGTCACCGAACATACTGTAGAAGAGCAATCCGGTTGGTGGTGTATCGCGTTCCGACTCGGCAGACTGGTTCTGACCCAGCGGGGTATCCCGGAACACCAGCGGCATCGTCCGGGCGGCCTGGCAGGGCTGCCATACCGCGGAGATCGGCAGCGTTTGTCATCGACTATCGCCTCGACGATACGTCGGTCGGGCGTCCTAGCAATGGTGCCGCGAGTCTTGTTGTAGTGTTGACCGCGGGAACCCCTCTGACCGGGTTTTGACCCCGGGCGAAGATCGGATGTCGAGTGTAAGAGTGCAGGGGAGTCGTTTAGTGCGGTAGGGTCCTAAAACGTCCTTGGACCCGCGATCTGCTCCTAACATCTGCAGATCGTCAAGTCCCATATACCCCGCGTGCCCCCTGGGCACGGGGACCACGTAGGAAGTGCGGCCACCGGTCCGAAAAAAAAAATGTTTGTGGCACTAAAACTTACACGTGTAAATTTGATCTTAAATTACTTCAAGGTTAAGAGATCATACAACACAAGATATGAGAATATTGACCTATGATCCTCTTTTGGTGTTTAAAATTAAAGTACGTCATAAGTAACACCTATTTTATTTTGGAAACGATAAAAACAAAATTATCTATATGTGAATATAAAAGGAAAAATCACTTCATCGCCTATGAATTTCCGAGTCTAAAAGTCTGTGACGTTGTTATTAAGGGTCAAAATTCAATATTTCAATTTCGAATAAACGTAAACATATTCTGTGAGGCTGAAGTTTGTTGAGTAGCATTAAAAGATTAAAAGTCGACAGTTCGCTCAAGCTGTATCGAATGGGAACTGGAAACGATCTCTCGACTGCAACATATATTTGCAATGCAGGCGGCACGGCACGTCCGCGGCGAACTTCGCCCGGCGAATGCAAAAATTTAAATTAAAAACATAAATCAGCCGTGTATCGAGTAACTTTCGAGATTCGTGTGTATTTCGAATACACGTTTCAAAATACGTGTACTTATTACGAAACGAACGGTCCGGGGAACGAAATTAATATAATATCACCCCCAAAAAATTTTACAGAAATTAATTTCGCTAACGAATTCGCAGGCAGTCAATTGAGAGGAGCTATCTTGTTATGAGGAAAAGATTCTCAAGAATAATTACAGGCCAAGAATCTCGACTGAGTATTTTTGAAAATTAATTGCTTTGAAANAAATACGTGTACTTATTACGAAACGAACGGTCCGGGGAACGAAATTAATATAATATCACCCCCAAAAAATTTTACAGAAATTAATTTCGCTAACGAATTCGCAGGCAGTCAATTGAGAGGAGCTATCTTGTTATGAGGAAAAGATTCTCAAGAATAATTACAGGCCAAGAATCTCGACTGAGTATTTTTGAAAATTAATTGCTTTGAAATTATTATGAGTATCATAATCTCATAATCTTAATTAAGAGAAGTTTGGCAAGCGCAAATTAAAATTTTTAATCTACCGCAAATCCTTCTACAGTGGACAGTATTTATGGACTTGGTTTTAGCGGGACCTGCTTACATTTTTATATTTGAATAAAGCATTAAAAGATTAAAAGCTCTGAAGTTAAAAGTTTTCTTTTACGAGACATTATAATAATAAATAACAAATTTAAAAACAATACCTGAAAACGAAAACTTTATTTTTAAATAATAAATGTAATTTAAATAATAATTAAACGCGCTTTAATAGTAAACCATAGTAACAATTAATTTCTTTCTTTATCCTTTTCTTTTCTTTTTTTATAATTTTGATACTGGTCAGGAAATTAGAGACTTTGAAAGATTCAGTTACGCACATACGCACCAAGCTAATAAAAGCGTGCTAAAAAAGAAAAAGTATGGAAGGAAAATAATTTACGACGAAGACGAGATATCTGCTGCTCTCGTCAAATTGCATAGTAGACATACGTAGTAAAGGAAACAGGGGCTTCAAAATAAAATGACATAAAAGCTGACGTTTTCCGGCAATGTTATTACGATTTGTGAACAATACCCGATGTCAGTATTGCCTTCTCTCAACATTAGGGAAAACATTTTGTTTCAAAAGAATAACGCCTTTCCGCTCCATTGATTCACTTATTCACTTCGCTGCTTCGTAAAAGATAAAATAATCGGAGAAAATTTTAAAGAATTCTTATTTTAAGTGAAATTGATTAAAAATTTGCTAGAAGCATTATTTATTAGCTTTATTATTTATTCCTTTTCGCGGATCGTAACATTTCGTCATGACTGTTACTGTTTTTTTTATAGATCTAACCACCCATCAACCATCTAAAAAAAAGAAAAAAAAAGATTATTATATTAATAGCGTTGATCCTACATTTTCTATCGGAATGCATGTTTGCGTCGTGACAGAATTAGATAATACTTTAGTTATCCGGCGACGTTTACCACTCACCATTAGATGGGCCGTATGCCTGTCTGTTTACAAGGGCAATAAAAAAATTCCTATTATTCAATGACTTTGTTTTGAAAATTCGTAAAATTGTAATAGTTAGAACGAAATTAACTTTTGTCACGGCCCGAAAGTTCGTTGACTCGAGTTAGCCTTTACGGCATACAAGTTATGCAATGGGAATGTTCATTATGAGAATTGTGCAGACTTAATTAGAGTTGGTTTGATTGCAGCCGTGACTGGCGTCAGCTGGGAGGAATGGTGGACCTATGACGGTATTTCAGGTAAGCGAACACGCTTGAAACATACACTTTATCCTCATTCTACAAGTATACAGTTCTAGATTGGTATGGAATTATGAAAATTTTTAAGTTACAATACTCTATTGTTTAGTAAACATACGATAACAGAAGTTTGAAAATATTGAAGTACGGATGATATATTTTGTTTAACTATTCTGTTGATATCCAGAAACTCAATTTCAGCTACGATAAAATTAAAAAGATTTATGTTAATATTTAAATGACTCTACATACTCTACTCTGCATCTCTACTACTCTCTACATCTACGACCAACACGATTAAATTGTCACATCTAAGGTCGTGACTGGATTTCATTAAAATATTTGATGATCTATGCATATTAAATCTAATAAATCAAAAGTTGCAAATACACGATTAAATAGCATGAAAATATTTTGAAATTTGATCGTAAATTTTTGGAAAGATATCATTTCAATACCGACAGTGTAACGTTGCGATAAAACCTCACAATTTGGCGAGTAATATGAATGCAAGATAAATCACCGGAATAAATTTCACGTCACGTGTACATCGGGATACGTTATCGGCAAAGGGGAATTGATACGACACACAAACTGATATTCTGCTGGGCTTGGGGTAGGTCAATGGTTCTGAATGTGAACACAAAATAATAACTTCATCTTCTATGTGTTTTATTGTGTAGTAGTTTTAGAGTGTGTTCTTTTATACTCCTACTTAAGTTCTAGATTTTAAGGCCATAATTTATAAATCAACTGCTTATAAAGGTGAGAAAAAGAAAAGAGACCGTCAAAAGAAAAAAAAATGCTTTGATATATTTGCGAAACTGGTAGGGACTACTATGTGTAAAAGGCAAGAAATTGATAAGTTACTTAGAAAACGAGGAAGGCCTGCATCACAAGAGGCATTCCATTGTACTAAAGTGCACTAAACTAAAAACAAATTGGTTCATTAAATAGATCAGAATAAAGGCTTTCCTTATTATTATCCTTTATGGAACTTGAAACATTACAATCAATTACCATTTGAATATTTTCTTCGATTTTCGCAATTCGTTGACGTAATTACCATTTGAAATGTCCAATTTCAAAAGACCTTGTCCCTAATGTCGAGGTTCGATTTGATCAACATGATAATGTGCAATAACCACGAAGTGCAGACACAATTCATATACGGCTGCTTATATAATAGTTAAATGACTTTTTTAAATTGAGATTTGTCTAAGGTTTGAATAATCCATTCAACCATATTTGTCTTAGTAAAATGAATATTGTCAACAAAAGGCAAGCGCGTGTCGAACTATGCACCTTGAAAATACTGTATTATGATAAACGTTCAATTAAAAAAAAAAGTTTTTTGACCCTTTCTTAATATGGTGACCTTTAACAATTAGTGTTCCATGGAAATGGTCGTGGTTATTCCATTAGCTACTTTTAAGTAATTAACAAAAGTAAGTTATGCAATGTAATATCCTTTTCTCGATGACTAAAAATAGATTGCGATAATTCGACATAAAGCCTTAATTGTAATTAATTGTTTTCCATCACTTAAGTCTAAGTTAAATTCTCATCAATCTCCAATAGCTTGCAAACAAATTGCTAATTCTCTATTGTATCTCTATCGCACTTAATTTTTTTACAATCAGCATACCTTCTGTACGGGTTTGCATAGCAGTTCATTGACAGAACCTTAATAACTTACATTTAAAATTCAATTTGCATTTGTCACTATTGTGTCAAAAATGACAGATGGAGATCGCGAGTAGCCAAGAGCTTTCACAGCAGATCTCTAAGCACGCGATTTTGAACCTTACAAGTATGTACTGTGATATGTATAACGTTTTTTATTTTTTTCCAGAATATCAACTTTAAGCAGTTTGAAGCGTTTCATTTTTATTTGATTAAAACATATTATGTGAAAAATAATATTATCATGGTAAAATTCACTTAGAGATGAGTAATGATAACGAGATTCGACGATAATGATGACGACAAAAATAATCTCAAATAATTCTTTAGAGTACACTTCTTTTTAATACGAGATTGAATAACTGAAACGGTCTAGTAATCGCTCGACCACACACACACACACACATATACACACGCCTTTACTGGTGGTAGGACCTCTTGTGAGTCCGCACGGGTAGGTACTACCGCCCCGCCTATTTCTGCCATGAAGCAGTAATGCGTTTCGGTTTGAAGGATGGGGCAGCCGTTGTAACTATACTGAGACCTTAGAACTTATATCTCAAGGTGCGTGGCGCATTTACGTTGTAGATGTCTATGGGTTCCAGTAACCACTTAACACCAGGTGGGCTGTGAGCTCGTCCACACATATAGGCAATAAAAAAATTAAAAAAACGCACGCGCACACGCACACGTTCCTGTAAATTTGTTGATCGACAAAACCTACATCTAAAACTACCAAAAACCAACAATTATGCTTTCTCGTATTAACATGTTTTGTTAATCTATCGATGAACGCATTGCTTGTCAACAATATTTAAATTCCATGCCAGTTTAAAGATGTAATTTGCCAAAGTTATTATCAGGTCAATTTTGGTGAAAAGCCTCGATAAAGTGCATCAAGCCAATAACGCGATTATTGTTGTTGTTCCATTAAATTTACGGTAATGTTCGCAACCATATAATGCAATATCAGCTCACAATTTGTCCGAGCATATGGCTGAAATTTGCACATATTCAGCAATTCAAAATAGTTAGCTTCATTTTCATTGGCTTTCAATACAATTTTTTTTTATCAAAGTCTTTGTTTGTTTGGCTGTGTATTTGTGCTTGCAAAATCCGTAAAAAATAACCTAGGGTTTCGATGAATGGGAGAGTAATACAACGACAAATGGGCTTAATGATTAACTCCAATAGATTGAGACAAGGTATCAAACGAGAATCTACCTTTTCTTGGGTCTATTACTTCAAGTTAATTACAATGAAAAATCAATATATTTACCTATTTTTTTATTTAGATAGATGGACCTTACGCTTCATCTGGCATTAAATGGTCACTGCAGCGCATAGACAACAACTACGTTAAATGCCGCCACCATGTGGAGACAAGTGTTCGAAGTCTCAGTTTTTACAGTACAGCAGCTGCGTCTAACTCATCAAATCGAAACGCACTGCTTCACGGCAAAAATAGGCAAGGTCGTGGTACCTAGCCATGCGCCTAATCACCAGAAACAAACTTAAGATGCGTACTAATGAGATAACACGCGTTTATTCATAAATATTTCGTAAGCATCCTGCGAATAGAATTAGAATTAGAGAGTGGGCATTTTTTTTTCCTACCTAAGCTGATAGCCTTGATAGGCTATATCAGCGTAAGTTTAACTAGTAGGTGAGCTCACGGGGCTCAAACCTGACGACGTTGCTAACACGAACCCTAGCAATTGCCGTGCTTCGCAAAATCTACCACTTGATCGGAAACGCGACCCACAGAAGATCGGGTGAGAAACTCAGTGGGCTGTGGCTCAATGGGCAGGGTTAATTTACTCGTCAAGCCCTTCGTCGCAAGCGACGGGTTCGACGAGAGCGATGACCGGTGCTTGAGGTACCTAAAAGCACCGTTAGTGGATCGGGAGTGGGCATTGAAACAAACGAAATGCATAAAGTTTAATGACTATTTAAATAAACTATGCACAAGTTTTCTACGGGTTAAGCAAAACGAACCTTAGCACATAACTGCCTTAACGAAGTGCCGAAAACAAAAAACAAAAAAAAATATTAGTGCTAATGGAAAATTCGCTTAACGCGTGGCCATAAAGTGGGCGTCACCACAACCGCTGCGCCGGCTTACTCATGCAATTTTCAAGGTCATAAATAATAAAAGCCGTGAGCTCGACTCAAAGCGGATTTCTTTCACACGCCACTACCATTTGGAATTTAATGAAACTCATTACAGTGTCAACTTTTTTACATTTTTCATTTTTCATTTCCTAAATTCAATTTACTTAATATTGTTAAAACTATTTTTACGACTTACATTCGCGTTTTAATTAGTTAAGACGTTTCAAATTTATGGTCACGGTCACTCAAGTTGCAATTCGTCGACATTAGAATATTGTGTTATAACTACCGTCTATTTTTCTATTAAAAATATTTATAGGTTTTCCCCGTAAATTTCACATAAAACGAACTAGCAGTATCTCAACTAAAAATTAAACCGTAAAAATTGTTTTAATTATGTCGACGGTTCGCGAAAACCGATGTAAATGTTATATCATTGCTCATTTCTCAATCATAAAAAACTGGCAGAATTGGCGTATAAATCGTAGTAGGTTACTAGAAAATAAATCACAACCACATTAGAATACTTACTGACTTCTGACCGACTAACATATTTCCAATGAATAACTGACTGACATATCTTACCGATTCATATTTGACCAAAAACTCCCAATTTTTTTTTAACTTCACAGTGAAAGCACTTATTAAAATCATATGTATTAACATTATAAATGCCATGGTGATAAATTGACCTTAAGTCTCATGACCTAGAATAATAATAATTTGTTTCTTCTGTATCAATCTACTGATATATATTATTTGATAAAGGCTAGTTTTCATGTTTCAAAATTGTATAAATCCTTAGTAATGTCTCCCGCTTCGGTACCACTAACGATAAATATCTATTCATATCAATTTGGTGAAACGAATGTCGCATAGCATACTATACCATATTCATAGTAGTATGATACAGCAGGAACCTTCCCTAAGGTGCCAACAATAACTGGACAGAGCTATAATTTAATAGATAAACTCCGTACGATTGATATGAACTTGAACAAAGAAACAAAGAATCTTGCAAATATTCGCTTATTTACTTTAATACTAGGTAAATTTTATAATTTATTGCTGCAGCAAGTAATTACATGACAGCTAAAAAAACAATTGTTCATGGCAACTGCGCAATTGCTTCTGACGTATATTTACTTATAATTAAATAAAAAAACAGAAGGTTTGTGTTTTAAACTAAAATTAAAATAAGTTAATTAGCTATTTACCAATCTTGACAGAATTTACTGAACAATTTGCTTTTATGTCTCTAAAATACGTAGTCATAAGATAAATGTTTTTTTTTTTTATTAAATTAATAAACATTAATTAATATATCATTCGTGATCATGAAATGGAAGAATTGTTTTTTAAATAAATAATAGTTTAAATAAACTAACAAAATACGCTTATATAGAAAATCCAACTAAAAAATATGTGCATGGTATCAGTAGTTATAAATATCTTATGAACAGATATGAGTAGAAGGATTATTTTGATTATTATTATTATCCTGAAAAGCACCCCACGTTTTTTTTATAATAAAATCAATTTTTCTTACACTATTTTTAATTCAAGTTTATTAAAGTTTATAATTTCTATTTTTTAGTTAGATTTTCTTTAAAAGCGTATTTTTTAATTTCATTTTTTTGTTGAATTACAATTTTTTCAATATTTTTTTTAATATTGAATTGTCATCGGTCCTTAATAAGTATACCAAATTTCGAGTTAATTCGACGTTTTGAAGAGAGTCAAAATCATGTTCAAAGATTCCGTTACATACCAACATACATACGTCTGAAGCTAATAAAAGCGTATTAAAATGAAAACGTATTTAGGTCCCGCTTTCTGGGGATTAATCAATCCAGAATGGTCACTGTGCAACAAAGGCCGGAGACAGTCTCCAGTCAACTTGGAGCCCGAGAAACTACTGTTCGACCCCAATCTTCGATTTTTACATATAGATAAACACAGGGTAAGTTTAAAAAAAAACAACCATTCCTTTTTTTGTGCTATAGCATCTCTATTTACGCCGATGTACACTATTGAAAATATTGGCGAATAGCAAAATAGTCGTCAATTATATTTTTTTTATTTCTTATTAATATCAAAAAAACATTATCTATCTATCTATTTCGATACTAAAATATTAACATTAAATTATTGCCACTCAATTTTTAACAGCCAGTGTATGAAGAAAAAAAAATGGTAGCTTCAATATTACGTCTCAAGATACTCAGCCAGATGCATTTGCATTTACGAGTTCCAGTAACCGCTTAACACTAAGTGGACCGCCAGCTCCTTTGGCGAGATAAAACAGAATTGAGATCAACCATATTCTGTTAAAACTGCAGATCCATTTAATATTGAAATAACACCCACCGACCATGAACTTATTTCTTCATAAAATAAAACAGTCTGTGAACCGATAATTAGCCTTTATGAGTATGATGTTTTCTTTTTATTGCTTAGATGAGTGCGAGCTCACAGCCCACCTGGTGTTAAGTGGTTACTGGAGCCCATAGACATCCACAACGTAAATGCGCCACCCACCTTGAGATATAAGTTCTAAGGTCTTAAGTATAGTTACAACGGCTGCCCCAACCTTCAAACCGAAACGCATCACTGCTTCACGGCAGAAATAGGCAGGGTGGTGGTACCCATCCGCGCGGACTCACAAGAGGTCCTACCACCAGTAACAAATTGATGTTTTATAAATTTGATATTTGATAAATAGTTCCTGTTTATTTGACTAGATAAACGGATTAATTAGCAACACAGGACACTCCGTGATCTTCACCGTCGAAAACGAGACCCGGCACCACATCAATATCACGGGAGGTCCGCTATCCTACAAGTATCAATTTCACGAGATCCACATACATTATGGATTGCACGATCAATTTGGTTCCGAGCACGCTATCAATGGATACTCTTTCCCGGCAGAGGTGAGGACTTTTATGGTGAACGTATTCATTCAATTATTATTTTTTGTTTTCCATTAAGATTAAAGATTAAATTTTTATATAGTAGGTACATAGTTTTTATTCAGTGTCACTTCAATCACTTTATTTCGTTAATCAAGAAGTTAACAAATTCTTCAAATCGGTTAAACATAATATAATTTAATAAAATGAAATTATGTTTATGTATGTATAACCAAATGCAGACGGACCGTCTGGGGCAAACATTGAACTTGAAATTTAACTTATTTGTTACTCTTCATTATGAGAGGCTGACTCTTGTTGCTTTTATTGCTTCTTTGAACAATCCAAATATTTATAGAGCAATCAGCTAACTAGACAGTATATTTGATACTGCAACGCTAACTACTAATTAAATTAATTATATTATAGCAGTTCCCCTGAACACCGGGCTAAGTGCCGAAGTGGCTGAATGTCGTTTCGCTAATTGCTTGCAGACGCACTCGTGAATAATAAACAAACGGGGTACAGACGCAGTAAATACGTAATTAAACTCTGGACACTTTATTACTCAGCAGTAATGAATATTTAAACAAAATTACATTCCCAAACTAAAATCAGTGGATGTTCCATTCGAAGCTCCACTGAAATAATGTTTCGTCTTCAAATAATTCCCCGAGCTCCAACGCAAACATCATATGTCGCGTCAAAGTCAATAAAATAGTGATTCAGATNGTACAGACGCAGTAAATACGTAATTAAACTCTGGACACTTTATTACTCAGCAGTAATGAATATTTAAACAAAATTACATTCCCAAACTAAAATCAGTGGATGTTCCATTCGAAGCTCCACTGAAATAATGTTTCGTCTTCAAATAATTCCCCGAGCTCCAACGCAAACATCATATGTCGCGTCAAAGTCAATAAAATAGTGATTCAGATAAATATTATGTTAGATAGAATAAACGTTGAAATGTTATAAGGATTTCGCCGGGAAGATCTGAAAAGAAAGAGTAACAGATGTTTTCACACGCAACGGTCGCGACGCGCCTTCCTCCTTTTCGGAGACGTTCAAATCCCAAATGTAATCCCGACGAACGACTTTACTGCGAGCCAACTCAACCATGCCTCCTGTTTATTTATGTGACAAATTCTTACGCAGCCGAGTTAAATCCAAAATCATGTGCTCGTTCTCGTATGGGGGCTTTTTTAAGCGTCTTCTCTTTATAGCGTTGGGAGGAAAATGAATTTGTTGTTGTTTTTGTTAGTCAACAGGATGCGTTCGTGTAGAACAACATGTTTTATGCCATACATTACATAAAGCTTAAAAAGGTATGAGCTATTAACAAGTTTCTCGCGCACCAACCAGATTGAGGAAATTTTCTGAAAAAATAATTTTGTTTCAGATTCAAATTTTCGGTTTTAATTCTCAACTTTATTCGAACTTTTCCGAAGCATTGCATAAAGCTCAAGGAATCGTTTCCATATCATTACTGCTCCAGGTATGTATGTGTACTTTGTTGTTTTGCCCCGCTTTTTTATTTTCATGAAGGTTTGAAATCAAACAGGTGGCCAGCTGTAATATTGTAATCAAAAATATTTGTAATGTTTTTATTGACTTCCGAAAGTCTCTATTCCTTCTTTTCTAAGAGTTATGAACAGGTATACTTACAGTTATATAAATATGACTCGGACTCAAATTGAATACATCAAAGTAAACATATAAGAAATACAACTAGAGGTATTATAGGAATATACAAATAAATGTTACGTTGCGCAATATCGAATTGCATATCCCCGTAATTGATTTTATCGACGATGTGGTATCAACAAAGCCACACCTGCTCTCGCCTCGTAACCAAACCTAAGCGCAGTTAATTAAGGAAATTGGAATTTTCTGCGCCCCACTGGATTAGCCACTAAGCTATTACTTCAAATTACGAACTGTCTACCGAAGGTATCAGGGTATGTGCCAGTCATCGGCAGGGTCAAAGTAACTATGTTTTAGTTTCAATTAACAATGCTATTAATTACTGCTGTAAACTTAATTTAACGACCTTGCAAAGTTGCGTGTTAAATCATGTACTTTAGTTGATCACAAATCGTTTCGTAGTTAAACTCAAAGTTCGCTAATCAAACTCAAATTTAAATTTCTCATTGATTCTATTTTCAAACCTAGGCCAAAATTTAAAAAAAAGTTGAAACGATTCAAACAGCATATTTAAATAAAACTAATTATGGAAATATTTTCAACATCTTATTCATAAATCAGAATTGTTTTAAATTTTCGCAGCTATCCTTATTATTAACACTAATATTCAACGGTTTCTTTCCACGACTTTCAATCTTAATGAGTTTCCGATAGTTGGGGGTTTGCAATCTATTAAATAGTGTTTATAATGATTTAATCCAATATTTTTTATAATTACTTATCAGAAGATACGAAATGCGCCCCGGATACTTCCCACTACTGTTAATGCTTAATAAAACTATCCCGGCTATTTCAACCGAGTAGCAGTAGCGTGATCCAACGGTTTTTTTATAACAGTCCAATTACTTTTTGCGATGCTGTATCGGCCTGGAATAATACCACTCGATTTCCGTGGTTATCGTAAATAAAGAGGGATTCACAAGAGAATTGACAGCAACGTTTTCTGTACTGCGATTACCCACGACATCTACTCGTAGTAGATCATATTGAAAGCCTCTAGTGTACTTATTATTACCATTCTGCATATTTTTGCCGCGAAGAACACATTCCGATTTTAAGGGTAGCTTGGCTGTAATTTGTAAAATATATCTAATTCGTTGTAATTTCTATGGGCTCCGGTAATTCTTTACAGCGTTGAGAATAAACAGAAATAAAACTGTTTCCTTCGTAGCCCAAACAAGTAACAATGAAACCGTAATTAAGTATAAATAAAAGTTAAATTACGCTTTACTCTCACAGAAAATACGTTGTTCAAATACCTCAGAAATAGGGGTTGACGCCATAGTCCTTAGATAAACAAATTGTCTTGCGAGCACAACTATGTTTAAGATGCTATTTTTCGATCAGTTTACGAGCTTCCTTAATGAAGGTTGGCGCCTGTGTTAGCACATCCGATGTTGTCCCAGAGGGGACGTGTTTACAGTCACGTTCATATTTCGCTTGTGGGGCACCGTTAACTGAAACTTTGCTGGAACAAGCTATTTCTACACTATTGCAACTAATTTTGTCTAGAGCATTAACAATTTTACAAACAAGAAACTTTATTTTGTTGGGTTAAATTGTATAATACAAAATTTCAAAGAAAGATAGTAACAAAATGATTCGATTTCTTGAATAACGCAGTAATTTGTATAAGTAAATATAATTAGACAAACCCGGCTTTGTTGCTGATTTTTGATTCGATTTAATCCGATAGCTACCGAACTCACTAGCTAGGTCAATCGGTATATCTCTTTTGGAGTCTATAGAGAAGATATACACACATGGACTTTTATAAATCTATATACCTTATACAAAAGAAAGTCGTGTTAGTTACACTATTTATAACTGAAGAACGACTGAACTGATTTGGCTGAAAATTGGTGAGGAGGTAGCTTAGAACCATGAGAAGGACATAGGATACTTTTTATCACATTCCCGTGGGACTTGACATAAAACGTGGTAACTATAACAAAACGCAACTGACAGCTAAACGTAATATAATAATATTCTATGGTTAATTGTGTTAATTATAGTAGAATTTTGAAGTTGACTGGTTGATGTGTTTGAAACAAACCGTGTGGCGGAACAAAGTTCGCCGGGTCCGCTAGTAGATTATAATAGTCATCGCCTAATAATCGAAATTCAACCATAATCGTTGACATCTCAACACGACATCATATCGTCAAAAAAGTCAATAACTACTAAACAAAAAAAAAACAAAGGAATTAGTTGTCAACAGAGAATAAAACGATACTTAGCTGTTCTCCTTTCCTCTATTTACACACGGATTTTTAGAACTATGTAATTAGTAAACAGTAAATTTAATGTTGCAGCTAGGAGATTTATCAAATCCGGAACTAAGGGTGCTGACTGAAGAACTTGAGAACATAAAGTACGGTGGTGAGTTCTGTTTATTATACGTTATATCAACATATCTATATATATTATAAATGAATTGCTGTTCGTTAGTCTCGCTAAAACTCTAGAACAGCTGGACCGATTTTGCTAATTTTGGTCTTGAATTATTTGTGGAAGTTCAGAAAAGGTTAAAAAGGTAGATAAATATGTAAATGCTCGAAATTAAATAAAAATAACAATTTTGTTTTTCTTTTGATGTGTCCTCCGTCGGGCGGATTCCTTTTGTTTGTTTTAAGTTTATTTTATACAAAAGTTTAGGTCTTTTATTTATCGATTGAGGCACTACGAAGTCTGCCGGGTCAGCTAGTTATATACATAAATTTAACATAAACATAACAAATACCATCAGTGAAACGCATAGTTTAAAATACAAACCACGTATTTTACCTTTCATACGAGTTTGGATTCGAAATGCACCAATTTGTTTTGATTCGTAAATAATGGTGTTGGCGTGTGGGCTAGGTGCTGAAATGCCGGTAAACAAACTATCCGTACGTGGTCTGCTTCCCGATACGGACTACTACATGACGTATGATGGTTCAACCACGGCGCCTGCGTGCTTTGAAACCGTCACCTGGATTATTGTCAACAAACCAATTTACATCACTAAACAACAGGTACGATATATTATTATTATATTTATTACAAGCGACCCGCCCTCGCTTCCCTTCGGAAACTGTAATTTATTATTGATTTCTCCACTATTTAATAGATATTATTATACACATAAACCTTCCTCTTCAATTACTCTATCTATTAAAAAAAACGCATCGAAATCCGTTGCGTAGTTTTAAAGATTTAAACTTACATAGGGATATAGGGACAGAGAAAGCGACTTTGTTTTATACTATGTAGTGATATTGTAGTATTTATTTATTTTTATACTAATAAGAATTATTTCCTTCAGTTCAGATATATTTAAATTTGGAAATATTAATCAATAATCAGATATTTGACCCCAAGTCGCCAATATTGAGAATAATTGACGTCATAAGTCAGCACCGAATACTTATTTATAAACCGGCAGCCTATAGTTTTTGATTTAACACAAATAAGTTCGTTGAGTATTATAGAGGTTTAATGGATCTATCTATCAAGGATTTTTGTAGTGTACGTTATGTAATGAAAATATTTTCTCATAAACTAAAACTTTCTAGCAACCTTTTGCACAAAACAAATTGGTTAATGAAAAATAAGTCTACAAGAAAGATCGTTCAAAGTAGAAATTTTCAATAGATCCATTTACGTTTCATATAAGAATCTAAACATCATTATAAGTTTAGCTAGTGACATTAGAATCGATTCGTTTCACACTACAGTTCATATTTGAAAACTAACTTTTAGCTCTTGAGACTTCATTAATAGGGGTGATAAGAGTGCTCGTTTTCACTCATCGTTCATTTTAATTTGAAATTAGATTGAACTAAATACTTACATAATATTTTATGTGTGACTGACTCGGTGGTGCAGTAATTAGCGCCCCAGATTGTCGAGCCGAAGGTCGTGGGTTCCATTCCCACATCGGGCAAACATTCGTATGATAGACAGGCCTGCTTGCTCTTTGTCTATGTATTTTTTTATCTATACATGCATATATATTTAAACGTATATAAGTATGTATATTAATCTCTGTTATATATCTGGTATATATAGTCTCTAGTATATTAGAGGATGTGTGAAAGTCCCGGTAATCAAAAAATTAAAGAGCGGACGGTTAGCGTGGTGTGAACATGTGATGTGTAGAGAGAAGATGTATGTGACTAGGAGATGTATGGAAATTGTAGCGCAAGGTAGAGGGGAAGTGGTCGACCGAAGAAGACATGGATGGAGTGTGTGAATGACGATATGAGAGAGAGAGAGAGAGAGAGAGAGAGGAGTGAGTGTTGAGTTGACAGCTGATAGAAGAGAATGGAAGAGAAAAATTAGCTGTGCTAACCCCACCTAGTGGGATAAGATGGATAAAAAGAAGATTAGTCTCTGGTACCCATAAGACAGGGATTCCTAATTTGGGGCCGTATGGCCGTGCGTGATTTATTCACAGTTCCAAGTATGACTGATTCAATATAAAAAAAGTATTTTTAAACTCACAGATCGAACTGTTAATTAACCTATTCACTTAAAATGTTAAAACATATGATAATGAAACACAACACTGAATTGAAATGTTGAAGAAACGAATCCGGGTACAATCGATATGAGCAAAGTCTGCATCGTTCAAGTTCACCCCGTTTGCATTACACGGCTCCTTGACTTGTCTGGGATGTATGTTTATACAGAACGACCGCGATGTGGCATTGTCAGGTTTTTTGTTGAACATTTAACACTACAAAATATGTATATTAAAAAAAAAAACTTTATTTTATTACTATCCACTTTAAGATAACGAACGAGTCGTAATGTGCCGTTAGATTTGAATTGTAAACTTTTAGTGAAGTATTTTTTTTATTTTTTTTATTGCATAGGTGTGAGAACGAGCTCACAGTTCACCTGGTATTAAGTGGTTACCGGAGCTCATAGACATCTACAACGTAAATGCCGCCACCCACCTTGAGATATGAGTTCTAAGGTCTCAGTATAGTTACAACGGCTGTCCCACCCTTCAAACCGAAACGCATTACTGCTTCACGGCAGAAATAGGCAGGGTGGTGGTACCCACCCGCACGGACTCACAAGAGGTCCTACCAGTAATTACGCAAATTATAATTTTTGCGGGTTTGATTTTTATTACACGATGTTATTCCTTCACCGTGGAAATCAATCGTGAGCATTTGTTGAGTACGTATTTCATTAGAAAAATTGGTACCCGCCTGAGATTCTGCCTCCATACATAAATACTCATCTAAAGAGACAACGACTGAAAATAGATTTATGTCGCTTTGAATTAATATCTTCAGATAGATATTTAAAGTTACTAAAGGGGCAATAACAGCAGAAAAATACAATATTTTTGTAAGTAACTATAAATATAAATATAAATATTTACTAACAATCACGCCACGTTAACTGGTCCCGTGCTAAGCTCGTAAAGAACTTGTGTTACAGGTACCAGATAACGGAAATAAATGTTAGATTTTTATTATACACATACATATATTTAATATACATCCATAACCCTGGAAAAGACATTTATATTTATCATACAAATATCTTCCCTTGGCGCGATTCGAACCCGCGACCCACTTGTGTAGTGACCAAGTCACTTACCACTACACCAGACGGCCGTATGTATCTACTATGAATTTACAATTGAACTGTTTCTCGAAAATCGCCACTGGCTCATCCAGTGTCGCAGCATTCGCTCTGTGTATTCAACCGTATTAGAGGGCAGCCGTAATAACATTTTCATTTGTGCTCGCGCTGCAATAAACAACTCGCGTCCCTCGCCGTTAGACAAAGGCTCCGCCGTGAATTATATACGTGTTAAAAGTAAACTGAAACAAGGGCGGATCCAGCTTTGGCGCCAGGAGGGGGTCACATAGTCAAATTTAGATGCGTTCGTTCCCAAACGTTTGCCATTATACAAAGTTATTATATTATATTAAATTAATTAAATATTGAAGGTATGTAGTTACATAAAATGTGTATGGTGACAAAATATATAAATAAAATCATTATATTCAATTAGTGGTCCACCTAAGTCCTGGACCCAGCTCAGGGGGTGGTCATGACCCCCATGACCCTCCCCCTGGATCCACCATCGAACTGAAAGTGCCGCGTTGTGAGCCCCGTTATTATAAATCACTGTTTATGTTTTCCGTTTGTCGCTAAGCAAACTAAACGGCGAAAACTACTCGCAACTCAAGTAATGTGGTTGCTCAAGGAAACTCTTCGTATGCGTTTGGAATTTACGTTGCAACTGTTCTATGTTCGGTCTGCAAGCTGGTCACGCAAACACAGAGTGCAACTTCAATATTAGTCGCACAACAATACTAATGTTAGACTACAGACGCTTAGATCAACAGAGCAACATGAAATAAACTGTATTGATTTAGACGCTGAATCAAAAATAAAGGTGTAGTCTATAATCAAAGCGAAATTGTTTAATATGGCATAAACTGCTTTGGAATGGGGTTGGTCGCGTGCGGCGCAATCGTTTATACCCGCGTCGGGAATCAGGTACGAGCATAATCGTACTTGTAAAGATTAGGCTACATCTGAGGGTATTTTCCAAGACATTTTAGCCTGCTCGTGGCCACTAACTAATATTTGGTCTCGTAGGACATTATAAATTGTCTGAGTACGAAGACACATTGACACAACTAATAATTCATAGCTTCTACATTTATTTCCAAATAATTTAACGGACAACTTGGATTATTAAAAAAATATTGCGACATTTCCAAACTTTCCAAAATAATCGCTTTATCACTAGATAAAAGATGATAATAATAATAGCTGCTCTTGCTCTGGTTATTACGAAAATTAATTATTTGAAAATAAATTCTTGTTGCCACAAAATTAATTGTAAATAACTATTAATAATAATAATTACCAACATCTTATGTATTGCAATGCCGCTGTTTCTTTGAATAACTTCTGCTTTTCTATTATATTATTTTTTTGAAATATTAATATAAGGCAATAAGCTAGTCGTTGTTAAGCAGTTCTGTATATTAGCTCAACTGAATTAAAATTAACTAAATGAAAGGAATTTCAATTTGCCTGCAGTTGCTCTCCGTATGAATCATTAAAGCCCTCCTAATGAAAAGTGTAATGTGTGTGTATACATACGGACAGATTGCTTCTGTCTATTATGCAATCGAAACGTTGCCCTATTTTAAATGCTCTCATTTGCTTTTGTGGTATTTTCATTATCTTGTTGCAGTATAATATTTAAAAAAAAAACATTACAAAGCTTAAACACGTTTCATTAATTGTAAGTTAAGCTAAAACAACTTGCGTAAATTGCATATTTGTAACTGTGACGATGACTGTCATTTTCAGTTGTGTTCAGATTCTCGGAATTATATGTAATATGTTTCCAAAAATGGGACTTAAAAACATAGTACTCAGATTCAGATGTCAGCTATCCGACGTATTTTAGGGTAATCATCAATATTAAAAGTTAACTTGTCAACATCTACTGTCCATTGTAGTAAATACTGCAATTTTATTTCATATATTCAACAACAGAATATTGAAGTCTTCGTGGCCTAAAGGATAAGATGTCCGGTGCACTCGTGTTGAGCGATGCACCAGTATGCGAATCTCAGGCGCGTACCAATTTTTCTAATGAAATACGTAATCAACAAATGTTCACGATTGACTTCCACGGTGAAGGAATAACATCGTGTAATAAAAATCAAACCCGCAAAATTATAATTTGCGTAATTACTGGTGGTAGGACCTCTTGTGAGTCCGCGCGGATAGGTACCACCACCCTACCTATTTCTGCCGTGAAGCAGTAATACGTTTCGGTTTGAAGGATGGGGCAGCCGTTGTAACTATACTGGGCTGTGAGCTCGTCCACCCATTTAAGCAATAAAAAAAACAAAAACAGCAAGCTAATAGACAACTCGTATCAAAAATAAGATGAAGCAACTTTTTGGAAAAATAAACGCTTTCTTGCAGACCTGTGTGTACTTTTTTTCTTATTCTTAAGATAACGCGATCCCGATTAACAGATTAGGTCAGTTATTTAAAGCAATCATATTCTATATTGAATAATTTGGATATCCATAATAAGGTAAAATCAAATACACTTTACAATTATGGCTTTGCTACTAAGTATAACAACAAAAAGAGACCGAAGGAAATATTGTGCAGGAGACTTTGTTTATCCAATTCAATATTTCGTGTCTCCGTAAAATATGTACGTTACCTTTAGCTCCACGGGCTGCGGAGGTTGATGCAGGGCGACGCGAAGCACCCGAAGGCACCCCTCGGCAACAACTTCAGACCACCCCAGCCCCTGCACCACAGGGCTGTTCGAACTAACATTGACTTTGACTTAAACAAGGTAACTATTGCACGCGTATTTCGACTAATGATATTAGTTGAAATAGAATTTATGTATTACCCAAGTGAATTATTAGTTGTACGTAACTTTTTATTGATTCCGTTTGCAATAAATTATTTTTTTCGCTAAATTTTGGATTGCATTAAATTAGGCCTTATTATCCAAATACGATAAATATTGTAAAAGCGAACTGTTGGTTATTTCTAACGCCATAACTAAAATCATAACGAAGCTCAAAAGATATCTGCCGCTGCCAAGTGTTAAACTTTATAATTCTTGTTTGATGAGAGAATTTTAAAATAAATGAATGGCGCATTTATCCATCTATTAATTGAATTTATCTTGTTTATCAATTGAGTTAATACAATTTATATATTGNGATAAATATTGTAAAAGCGAACTGTTGGTTATTTCTAACGCCATAACTAAAATCATAACGAAGCTCAAAAGATATCTGCCGCTGCCAAGTGTTAAACTTTATAATTCTTGTTTGATGAGAGAATTTTAAAATAAATGAATGGCGCATTTATCCATCTATTAATTGAATTTATCTTGTTTATCAATTGAGTTAATACAATTTATATATTGTAGTGTGTTTCAAACGCATTGTTGCAACAATTGCTTAAATTAAAAACTTATTTACAGTATCCTGGAAAAACATGCCCCAGCATGCAAAGAAATATGCATTACAAAGGTAAGTCACATTGAATTCTAAAAAAATAGTATTAAAAAGAGTATCCGACGTATTTACTTCGACTTTTGTTTTCAGCTAAAAGCTGGACCCAGTACTGAAGAGATAACTTCGATAGCCTTTCATCTATGTAAACATAAACATAGTTTGTAGGCTATGTATATAATTCTTGTACATATATTTTAATCTCGCTTATGTACTTAATGTATTCTAAGCTACGTACTATTGACTGTAACATATCCTGACATACATATGCGAGTATATTATTATCTAGTGCTCAGAATTGGTAAGACATTATTTTATAGCTTTTAGATAAAATTAGGCGTCTAGGACAGATCGTCTGGTTCAACTTTTAACGGCCTCGAAACTAAGTAGAACATACATAGATATTTTCGGATAGATTATTGTGTGATTTTAGTAATATCGCCATTAGAATGATAACTATAATAAAAGAAATAGTGTAATTGTAAAATTCTATTTAGAAAATTGAAATATAAAAATAAGTTATTTCCTTATGAATGAAACTAGGAAAAAGTTAGGCAGACTTTTCAGTGTACATGTATAAAAAAAAATTCGTTTCTATTCTTAATAGTCACTATTAAATCATTGGTTGTAATAAAAATCAATGTCATATCAATTAATGAAAATGTGAATTTAATTACTGTCGTTAAGACTCTTAGAGTTATAACGATCATTACTAATAATCGTTGCTAGAAAACATCGATAGCTTTAAATATATTATTCTATAATGAACGACTTGAGGATTATCTTATGAGATCTGTGTGTATCGCCTGGCTTTTATGTAAAATCATTCTAGAAAATAAATAATACTTTCAATGCGTTTCGTTTACTTCACACAACCTATTTAAGAAAACAAAACTAAATATTTTGGTGCCAAGCGTGGACTCGATTCCAAATAATAAGGCATAAAAGATAAAACTTAAAAAAATGCAACCTATAGAAAAAAATCATAATATTACTCACATACAGCGTCTATTGGATCTTTGGAACGAAGCTCCTTATGGAACGATGCGGAGGGGTATCCTAACCGGGACAAAACGTCCGTAACATAAAATTTTTCTATTTAGTTCGTTATCAACAGATGTCGCTGCACATAAATTCAACAATTCTTGAATCGCGGTGACGAGATGTTGCACAGTTGATAGACGTTCTCGTACTTCTATTACTAAATCATACTTACCTAAAATAGGGGATGCCGTGATCATGCAGTTGCAGGTGTTTCCCCCAGGGCGAGGCTGCTCCATTGCACTGCGGAGTGGTTGACCCTTGCGATTATTTTTATTTTTATCAATAAAAAAATCGTAATAGAAAATGTGTACCCGAATAATTATTTTCTTTATACCTCGAATAGAACTTAAATGAAATTAATATTTTTACAATAAGGAACTTCGTTCTATCCGGTGTCCCACGACACCACACATCTTTTTTTCTGAAAACGAATAAAGGCGTTACAAGTCACCGAACTACAATGTTGCTTAATCCAACAACACAAAGAAACGTTCCATCATCGTTTTTTTTTTTGTAAACCCAATTGATAATTTGATAACTAGCTTATACGCTGCCACCACGTCTTCAGGGAAACTACCGATCTGTTCGTATTACACACGGGTTCATAAAAAACGAACAAAAAATTACAAAAATATTAGGTGTATCCTAAGTGAGTTTCCTTAGAAAAGTAGCTTATTCCAGTTGAAACTTCAGAAACGTCCGCTTAACACCCTGTATAGAGAGATATATAGCAACGTATAAAACAAACGCCTCATGCGCATGAAATATTCTTGTTTCAGCGATCACAAGCATTCTCGTGTCGCCAACTGATAACGGATTTGGAGTAAGCAAAGTACCGAAATAATTAGTACGATAGTACGATAATTAGTGCGTTAATTGGACTTTTCTGGGATCCATCACTAGTTGACTCCATTATCCAATCTAATTCTATCATATGGAAATTATACTATTAGATCACCAAACTCATACCTCATACTCCCAGGCCTAACTTCATACCGATTAGACGGATCGGCGTTGGTAACTACGTAATTACGTGATCATCAGTTGGACAATAGTACAGTTTGGCATCTCGGCTCCTAATTTACTCTATTAAAAATCGAACTGAAACTTAATGTTCTTGATACAGATGTAATTTAATTATTTCTTTTATCAAAATAATCTGAACAACAGTGACAAACAAAAAATCTTTTCTTTGTTAGGACTGAAGAAATTACCCATAAAGGTGAGTTCATATTCTTGAAAAGCAACGAAGTGAAACCGACTGTTTTAGTGTTTCCTTCAGTCTTACGTTTGAATAAAAAGCTCATTTGAATTCTATGAGAATCGAAATTGCTCTCTTTTTCGCTGTAGTAACTTAATTCAATCGAGTTCCATCACAATGTCGTCTACCTTTAGATTACGAAGTGGCAATAATACAGATAAGATGGGAAATTAAATTTATAAATTTTTCCTGTCTTCTCCGAGAATTTATTGCTTAGATGGCTATATCTTTTTCGAGTTTTATTTTTGTTTTCTATAGTTACGTAGGTACAATTTGTTTTTATATTTCTCTCAAGTAGGCGGAATTAAAGTTGCGGTAGTGCAATCTAAATTGCTCGATTTTCCGCTCAGGAACTAGGGTGGACGTTATTGGAAAAGTTCCCGGCGGGCCACGTTAATAGACTTAAGCGAATCGAGTTTATTAAAATTAATAAAATACTGGTTTATTCGAAATTGCCTTATCTACAGTTAAGAGGGACTGTTTTTGCTCAAATTATGAAAATCTATAATTAAAACTACTTCGACGGTTTAAATTTTATCTTTATTATTTTCATTTTACTACACTGACGTATTTGAAATTTCAAAAATAATAAATAGTATAAATAATAAACGTCAGAATAAACTTTAAAATAATTTTATTTATGCGCACGACGCGCAAAATCCAAAGAATTATTACATCGTACGATATGGAAGGATTGTTGGATTTTGAAATTTGTATTAATGATTAGTTGCAAAGGAATTGTTCGTTGTAAGAAGTAAAACAGTCCTATTTATATTGTTGACTATTTTCGAATTGAATAACGAACGGAATCACTTTCTTTCTATTTGTTACAAATCAGTACAGACTTTAAGTTAACCGATTAAAATGAAAAACTCAGTAACATTAGTAGGAATTTTTAGTAACACTTTATTATTAGACATTTCAAAGAGAACAAGGCTTAACACACCCAACAAGACTTATACTTTTGAAGTGAAACTTCCTTATCGGCGTTGGAAAAAAATTTACCGTCACATTTTTCGGTTACGCGTCACATTTTTCCGTTACGCGCCATCTTTTAATTAACGGCTGTATGTTCTGAAGTATGGATGCGCATTTGAGAAACCGACCTCATGTCTCAAGGTGGGTCACGGAATACATTTTGTAATTGCAATAATCCCAGGTAACCCACTTAATATCACGTGGACCGTGCTATTATTGTTATTACGTAAAATAATAGGAAGAAAAGTACCAGGGTATTATGATATCAAAGAGATGTATTATTATAACTTTACTCTGACGTACAGCCTTCTTTATTAATTAACGGCTGTATGTTCTGAAGTATGGATTCCGATTTGAGAAATTGACCTCATGTCTCCAGGTGGATTACGGAAATCATTTTGTAATTCCAATAATCTCAGGGAGCCCACTTAATAATATCACGTGGACCGTGCTATTTATTACTGTTATTACGTAAAATAATAGGAAGAAAAGTACCAGGGTATTATGATAGCAAAGAGATTTATTAATAATTAACGGCGGTATGTTCTGAAGCATGGTTTCGGATTTGAGAAATCGACCTCATGTCTCAAGGTGGGTCAAACTTCACGAACCTCAGGAACCCCATTTAACACCACGTGGACCGTGCTATTATTATTAATTTATAGGAAGAAAAGTACCAGGGTATTATGATATCAAAGAGATGTATTATTAAAATGCTGTAATAATCTTAGTAGCAAAAAGGTAAAGTGAAATAATTGTATTATTTGTATTCATGTCTATGATAATAAAATCCTTTTGTTTAAACTTTATCTAATTTAACTTTATTTAACCAATTTCTAGAAAGTTGCATGTAGATCATTTTTCGAAAAATAAGGCCATAAACAAGTTTCACTTCTTACGTGTGTACACTAGTACACGCACACATTTTTTTTACTACAGGTTTACGGCTTAACTAGTGTTGAGTGGTCACCTAATGGCCGAAAGTAATTTCTTTGATATAAGAGAAAAAGATACTGTATGTGTTATGTAGTATATGATAATGATGGATTGAGTATTGATGATGTACACACTCGATACTGCCCAATCGAATTTCAGGCTTAAAACAGAATAATCGTCTACCTTACACTTGACACATCATGATGACTTTTTCATGTTTTCGAGGCTCTTTAAATCGAGCTTAAATATCAAACACAACAAACTTGTTGAAAATTTAAAGTGAAAAATCTTTCCTTAAATCCAAAATAAAAATAAAATCTCAAGTAACTTTAGATACAGATAATATTCGTAATATACTCGGTCGTATCACAACATGAAATGAAGTGAATTCATCATCAGCCTGCGGCAGTCCACTGCTGGACATAGGCCTCCCCCAAAGCTCGCCACTGAACCCGAATGACTGAGTGAGTGACTGAGTGAATTAGAATATTAAAAATTCATAAAAGTTAAAAGTAATCAGATTTTCATCATCAAATCAAATTAGATTTCAATATTAGTTCAATTTAATCCGTCATTGATACAAGACGTACAAATGAGGCCGTCAGCGCAAAAGTGGGCTAAGCTTACCTGAACTTACTATAGTAAGTATGGAGACAATGAGGTCTGAATTTCACTTTTACACTGCCTCATAGGCAAAACAAAACGCGCAAAAATAATGTTGACAAAGCCATCTGCTATCTATGGGCGAAACTAGGGATAGGCCGGTTTTGCATCAAAATTTATTATGTTTTAAATAAATTGCAATGTAGTAGAACCACGAATATGAAAAAATGTAGGATAGGCCACTTTTGTGCTGACAGCCTCAAATTAGCTTTCATCAATAAAATGGACAAGATTTAAAAGATCCTGATGATAGTGCTCACAGTTAACTTGTTCGTTTAACACAAGTACAAGCGGTAACACAAAAAGTGTTTGTAATTTCAATGCAACTAGTTAAAGTTTCATTGCAAAACCAGTGTATAACATCGCTGAGGCCGATTCCGCTTTTATGCAAATTCATATGTACGTTCGACATTGTAACTTGTAGACTGTTTGTATAATAGATCGTGCTAAATTGAAATATTCTTGTAAAACTTTTCTTCATCTTTTAACGAAACGAAAAATAAATTTTAAAGTTTTGCGATCAGTAAATTAAAGCGATATAATTCAAAATTGTGGATATATATTACGAGCTCGCATTTTTGGACCATTATCATTTCTACTGTAAAGTAATGGCTTTACTCATGATTGGTAACTGTATTCTCCCATGGTATTTAAGTTTTAGTACGTTCATAGCACAAGGATCCTGATGATGTCAGTACATTGGAAAGAGAGAAAAACATGGATAATTATAAGGTTACAGGTGTTATTTTAGTCAACTATACACTTAACATGACTTATACAGAGTGTACATTCATTATTAACAACGCTTCAGTAGCGCATTTTTAGTATATTCCACAACAAGATTAAATTTCGAAGTTCAAGGTGAATGGTTTTAAGACGAGCTTCTTGACACATTAAAATCATATCTTTAAATAAAACATAAGCAAAATTCAGATTAGCATTAATGGAATGGAAGACTTTAAAATTGTGAATTGTGTAGTGCTATTTAAAAAAAAAGAATATTTAAAAAGGTTAAAACGGTCTTTTAAAAAGCGTTTTAGAATAGCAAAGTTCGAATATTACAATCGTCCCGATTTATTTTTATCAAGAAATCTTCTTCCGCTTTTTTATCCCAGAATGAGTTATAGGAACAAAATATGACAAAATTTAAGGATGTAGTTAAAATTACTTTCGTAGCTTAAACTCGTTTTTTTTTCTTTAATTTACTTCCCCCGTTTCGAATACTTTACAGTCTTCATATAACGGACGACTCGCGGAAATCGAAGAAAATACTAATCTCTAAGGATTACAATTGAAATTTTACTAACTTTAACTATATTCAAAATATCATACCTTAACCTAACAGCATACTAAAATTGTAATGAAATAGCTTGAAAATTTTCTTATTTTCGCAGTCTCTCTACAAAGAGCACCGCTGTCATACAAGTCTGTAGCTTAGTTCAAATACGAATACAATTTATTTTTGCGTAACTTTAAATCTAAAGAAATAAGCATG